AAACTATTTATTGCAACACCATGTTGTGTTCAAGCTATGAATAATATATGGTATAAAAATATCCATCACGAACAATCAAATAAACGAAATGAACTAGCTATGGCTATTGGAGTTTTTTCACTTGGTCTTCTAGCGCCATTTTTTGTCACTTATCGAAATCCTCCAAAGGTTAGAATTTATTATTATTTCCGTCTTTACAATAATAGATAGGCATAAAATGAAACTTTAGTTACAACTTCAGTATATAGCAGATGATGTTTTATAAGGATTGACTGAAAGTATAATTATCGAAAGACATAAATATTAAAAATGACGATCTATACTAGTTTAAACCAATTTCATTTATCTTTCTAGTTACTCAGAATCTCTAATTTATATATGTCACTATTAACAGAACATTATTTTTATTGAGTTGAGAAGAACAATCACAAAATCATTCTACACAATTATACCATTCTTCTAAAACAGATTGATATTTGATGTAGTAACTGAGCTGAAATCATGTAGAACAGTCTAGAGTGTCTTCTGTTATTTTAGGGATTGACATATATGAAAATAATGTTGTTTTTATGTAAGTATTCATAGGAGATATTTATTCTAACGTTCACAGAAAAGTTCATTCATGAACATTAGCACAAAGATATGAACAAATCAGTTTCATATCACATATCGAACAACGGAATGTCACTCTTAAGTTCATGAGTGTGCGAAAGATTTCAGATTAGAGAAAAAGAATCTAAGAAAGTATTTATAACAAAATCTTGTACGAATAAGAAGGAAATCTACTCGTTCTGAGCAAAATAAAAAGTTTATCACCGATTATCATTAGTGATATTAACACAATTTTTAACAAAAACGCAAGCCCCTGCTTTCGACAGATATTGATCATATTTTTTGATTTAAATTCTATGAAATATAAACGAATAGAAAATATTATCACTATTCTTTAATTAACAAGATTTTATTTTCATTTTAATTAGATAGTAAACAACGAGAAACCTAAACGATCGTATGTATCCTTAACTAGAAATTCAATTTATAAAAATAGTATATTATATTTAGTTTACAATCTTATGGTATAGATTATTCAGATCCATATCCAAGTGGATCCCGTCGATATACTAAGTATCCTCCAATAAATAATTATATACAGCGATTAAAAAATTTTCATCAAGCTTTACACATAAAATATTCTTATCATTGTGTATGTATACATATTATCATTTAAGATAAAATCTAAACACCTGCTTTTTAGTTAAATTATTGTTTTTTCCTGTTACTTTTCTCTTATGTACTTTTATTTAACTTTCAACCACCAACTTCTTCAGTACCATGTATCCATTGGACTGAAATTCTAACAATTATACTTGTTTCAACCATGTTAATTGAAGAAATACACTATGTAAGATAATAAAATCTATACAAGTAGACAATTACAATTTCCTTTTTTCATTTTTATAGTTTGTTAGCCAAGATAGTATAACATTGTCTGGAAAATTTGAATGTTATTTTAGGGATCTATTTAAAATTATGACTCTTATTGGATTTATACTTTTTTATACTGGATTAATTCTACGATTTACTCATGCAGATGATGAGAATGAATTTGTCGCAGCTAGGTAAGATGATTTTTCTAATAAATCGAATATTATTTATCAAAATGAAATATAGAGGAAAATAATTTGTCGTAAATGAATTGTTTTTTAAGAACATCATAATAGTAGAATATCTGTTCTGTACTACTGTTCAAACGGATAAACAACAGAAAAGAACTTCTTTATTGACCGTTATACTGCTTTAACAGATCTTTTATCTTTTTGACTTTGCATAATATTTGTTGTTATCTAGAGTATATGCTGTTTGCTTTGAGTTCCCAGATGACACTCAGTTATAAGCTTCGTATTGTCTAATAATAATATTAGATCAGAATCATTATAATCAAAACTTCAGAGATAAGCAGATGACAAAGCATTTCATGATCCTGATGCACTCTTCTTTTCTGTTTATCTGTGAACAAAGGAAATAGTTAACCATCTTCAGACTCATAGGAAGTCTGTCAAAGCTAACAAAAGAGAAGTAGTTGAATACTAATACTGATATCACATTCAATTTACTCTAAACTTATGAGTTTCTTTTTCAATATTTTAGCTGTATAAAAAATAAACTTTATAACATTTACTTTTGATTTATATATATGTAGTTATTTAATTACATTTATTCAGGGTAGTATGGGCGATTGATGTTGAACTTTGGTGGCTCCGTTCTTTAGCATTTATTATTGTTATACCATCTCTTGGACCTCATCTGGTGGCTATTGGAAAGATGGTATACATATAAATGTTTTTTTACATAGAAATAAAATCATTTTATTTTGTTTAGCTTAAAGATCTTTTGTTCTTTATTTGCATAATTGCTATTGTTATGACTGGTTATGGTGTTGCATCTCGTTCAATGGTTTATTATTCAAATCCAACTTTATTCAATGATACTACTACAGACACATCATTTGATGGTAGAAGTATTTTTCGTCAAATTATATATCCAGTATATTACTTATTGTATGGACAAATGGGCAATGAACTCGCTGATCTCGACAGTAAGTGAATCGTATGTGTATATTTGTGTTGCATATAAGATGTTTTGTATAAAAATGAGTTCAAATTTATAAAGAGTTGCATTTAATTGAACTTAATGAATGTTATCATTTGAAAAGAAAACATATCTTCAAAATTGTAATGTATAAAATATTCTCAAATTTCGAATAACTCATTATAACAAAACAAAAATCAAGAGCTTATGCACTCAAAATCTTAAATATCGTTTCTTCAAAACTATATAAATTAGTGAGATAAAAAAAATATTCGAAATAACTTAAACTGATCGCTTGTTTCAATCGCTCGCTAATCAATTGTTTTCATTTGAGATTTTTGAATGTATAATATATATTTTTCAAATAGCCAATCCCGATGCTGCATGGTCAATTGCTACACAAGTATTACTTGCTATTCAGATGCTCTTTGTGAACATATTACTTACTAATCTTCTCATTGCCATGTTTAGGTAAGTATTTTATTTAATAAAAATATTTTTATGTCTATCTATTAATCTTTTTAAGTAAACGATTTGATCAAGTTTATGATGACACAAAAAATATTTGGCATTCTCAACAATATTTATTCACAAGAGAATATTATACACGTTCACCGTTTCTACCACCTATAAGTCTTGGGTATGATATTTATCGTTTATGCCGTACAGGATTTTATGCTATAAGACGAGTATGTTTTAAGAAATCAGCAGATAGTAAAGCAACAGTATTTAGTAAGTTGAAATCAATCAATTTTATTTTTCGAAAATTCACCATTATTTAGAAATGATTCCAATCAATAAAAGTCGTATGAAAGAATGGTATGAATTTGAAGGTGCATCAACATATGAATATGCACATATAGAAGCAAAATCATTAACATCAACATCAACAATGTAAGCTAAAGAGAAGAAAATATGTGATTAAAATTTAATTTTATATAGGTCAACAAGTGGATCAGATTCTACTAGTAATGAGAATAAAGATGACACAAATGATAATGCAAATGATTCAAATAGTGATATTCGACTTGTACAACATGATTTAGTAAAATTAAGTCAAGTAATTGAAGAATTGAACGCAAAAATAGACGCGTTTATTGATCCAACACGCCTTAAAAAAGACGCAAAGTGAATTATGATGCAAAATTCCATTTATTTATAAGTTTTTACATTTATATTTCGGAATCTTATTTTATAATATAAAAAATAAAATTAATTTTATTCCAGAATTTCTTATTTATAACTCATATTACTAACGCATAGATAATAAGTCAATTCATGTTTTACTGTTGTAGTGTATATTATCGGAATATTCCTCTCTCTTCAACGGCAAATAATGGAATAGATTTATTTTTTCTCGTTCATTTAACCCTCGAACGGCTTTTGTGGGTCCGACAAGACCCACAACACTATTTTTTTGATTTTTCTACACGAAGATGCATCATTTTCGGTGCCATCTCTCTGCTAATCGTTAGTTATATGATGGTGGATATACACCATATTGAATTTCGTACTGAATCCTTCCGGTTAGAAAACTGAAGTGTGGATCTATACGGATCCCTCGATACCTTTGATGTTATATAAGCGATTTTAATACATATTCCGCCTGCTATCTATTTTTTTAGAGTTTATTGAATCCAGATTAGTTAGTATAACACTACCAATAGTAAACCATTTACATTCTTAAATTTGTTTTTTGACGATTTTATTATATTCATTCAGTAACATTTTAAAATCAAAATTTTATCATAACCTTTTTCAAAAACTTTCATGAAAAAAAAACCGTCGTTTTTATACATCACAGTCATACTAATATTTTCACGCGTTGATAAAAAGTACGGTATAAGGTGTAATAAACAGCATGTACTACAGAGTTCATGGAAAATCAAGCTTATCTAATATATTTTTATGTGGGTCTCTCTGGACCCATAAAGACCATTCGTGTGATAAAATGGGGATACCGTTCGAGGGTTAAAAATCTTTTACTCGTATTTTTACTCTATGATATACCGATTTCGAGCGTTCTCTAATATTTTATCTTGTACAATTTATGAGCTGATTGGACAAAACTAGTTGAAGAAATACACATAAGAATACACGATTACAAATGAAATATCTTATATCTACGTCATAGGAATTATTTCATTGAATATTAAAAAAAGACGGAAATAGCCTAGATTATTGGTATCTAATTGATTGTAAAGGTGTACATACAATGGTACGATATCTATCGATTACAAAGGTGTGAGTGTGGATGTTAAATGAGAAGAATATTCACACCCATCTTGTATTTGACTTGTGCATTTCTTTGCATAGATTCTTATTAATAAAACCAATGAGTATATATGTGATATTATTGTTTTCGACATTTTTACTTTCGATCTTTAGTCACTTCGTCAATGTAACAAGCTATGGATAAATATAAGGTAATGTATGTTGTCCACCAACGATTTTTGAAATAAAAGATACAACACTATCACTATTTGGACAACCATATGGACGTTGATTACAAACAAAATTTGAATAAGATAAAAGAGATGATACACTAGTTCGATATCGAATAAAATAAATAACAAATAATGTTATAAAAGTATCGATGATCAAGAGACTACATAGAATACTAAGACTAATAATCATACATCGACGCACAGAACTATTTCGACTTCTTTGTGTTGATTGTATTCGTTGCAATTGCATATTTATTTTTGTTATTGTTATTTTCGATCTAACTTATATTTTACTATGTAGTGTCACAACAAAATATGAATCTAACAGACAAACTAATCTTAACCTTATAGAAGATTAACACTTTCACTGTCCTCATACAAAAAAATGAGTACTTGTTCTACGTCCATTTTTTATTTTTTTCTTAATTTCAAAATATATTATTTTTGAAGTGTATTACGTTTATATACTACAAAAATAAGCTTTAAACATATCTTCGATGTTTTTTTTCCATGCAACACATATGATTCAATTGTTTCTCTTAGAATAATACGGAACTAACTTTATTGGAGAAACAATGGTTATATATATAAACGAGCTAGGAAGTATCAAATATTTCAGAAATAAAATATGACGAAGAGGAGAATATACGTAAACAACATAAAGAGAAGGAAAATGGCTAAGTGAAAAAAGGAGAGAATAGAAAAAAAAGATAGTACTTCTTATGCACGAAAAAAATGCAAACGGATCTCAACAAAATGTAGACAATGCAAGAAACCATGCTGCTTAGCTTGCTTTAATGAATGTCACTAAACATCATTACTGGAACCTGTGACTATTCTTTTATTTTTATTTAAATTGGTAAAGAAGAACAGTTCATTTTATTTTGAAACACTTTTTTGTAATAAAAACATCTGAAATTGAGCATTCATTTTTTTCCCAGATAAAAGCGAAAAGACTATGTTTTTCAGGATTTTATTATGTCCAGTGTATCGCATGTGGTTCAACCTAAAACTAGAATATTTCTTTACATCGTACCGATACATTCCAATAGTCTAAATGCAGTCAGCAAGTTGCATTTAGCAAATTCTAGCTTCAAAAATCATATGCAGCGCATGCATCATATGTGATGCACGGGACGTCTCAGTCCAAAGTATCGTGCATCACATATGATGCACCGGACAGTGAAAGTGTTAACAATCGATGAATCATTGTTTTTCGTTCTTTAAAATGATCTTTACATCATAGATGTTATTGTTTTTATTAATAGAGTTAAGAAAAAAAATATGAATAAAACTTTTATTTAATCCTATGACATAACAACATCATCATCATCATTATTAGTTTTTTCTTTAGGTGGTATAGTTTTTTTGTTTCCATTAATCGACGACTTCGGGGAAGTTGGAATTATATGACCAATATTTTTAAAATAATGTTCGATTCCAGGAAATTCCTCATGTGGTGAATCATTACAACAAGTATACATTTTATTATCATTCTTAGGTGATTCTTTAAGTACGGATGGTGTTTTAGGACTTTGTTCTTTGTTATTCTCAACAACATCTGATATTATATCATCTTTTGTATGAGGAACGCCTAAAAAGGTAATATTGCTATATTGAAAAAAAATTTTAATCAGTACTTGGCAGATTTGGAGGAGGTAGTTCATTTGTTACAGTGATGAATTCATCTTGACTCTTAAGTTCATCTTGATTCTCAGAATAATCGTGATTCTTAAAAGAATCTAACTCAGGAACTTTAAATTCCATAAGATCAGATTGATACGTTTGCTTCCCATCTGAAAAAAAGAAGAATAAAAGTAAAAGAATATTTTACAAAAGAATTAGTGAACATACTAAGTAATTTTGCTACTAATTGAAAAGTATGACTTTTACCACTTTCAAAACCTTTAATACAAACGTGAAATTTATCCTCTATTTGTTTTTGGCGTATCTAAATAAATCTTAAACTTTCTTCTATTTTTTTCTAGAATTAATAAATATACATATTGAATGTCTATACCATCTAGATACATAATATATTTATGAGCAATTTTATCCCCTAGATGGAACCATTCAATATTGAGATCTGCTTTAGCATTTTTATCAGCCTTCGACCGTGTGAAACTTATCGTTGGACTTAAAGCAAAAACATCATCATGAATAAAATGAAAATACTAAAAGATAAAATAAGCATTTGTTTAAAATCAATTTTATTTAACAAAATAAAATATACACAGTTTTTTGATAATTTTGGTTCTTGTGCCCATTTTGTATTATTCGGTATGGCTTTGATGTAAGCTGACGGATGCCTTATACGTGTGTTAAAACCTGATGCTGCTATAGAATCATAACTAACATGAAAGTCTATTTCAGTTGTTTTATTAACGACTAACTATTACAAAAAAAAATAAAACATTTAAATATCAGAATAATTTATAATCATTTACAATAAATTTTTGAATAAGTCTACGAGATGATTCAGGTATAACATTAACAATTCCATAAATTTTATTGTCTGGAAATTTAAAAGCTTCGAGATGAAAATCAATTACAAGGTCGTTCCATAATTTTTCATTTATCTAAAATAATTTCTTATTCGATACAAATGATACTAGTTTTAACTTACTTGATCATTTTGTTTTTTATTTAATGAACTCCTTCATAAAACAAAAAATACCACATTCGAATTGATATATATACATCATACAACCGACAACCTACCGTGACTGATCAGGATCAGACATGTTTACTTATACTAATGAATATTTATTATAAGTATAAAATTTGATTACACCTATATTTTTAATTTTGTGTTTTGTCCTTGACAATTATGACGGAATAAAGCACACGCTTTTAAGAAAACACTAAAGAAGAGAGTTTTTTTCTTCATTATTTTAAATACTTTTTTTATCAACTCATAATTTATTTTTCCTTTATACTTTTTTTCACGGAAAGAAAGAATATAGCAACAGGTTACTACACAAACCACAAATTTATATATATATATAACAAAACCATATAAAAAAGAAACAGAAATACTGTGATTTTCATATTGACGTTTTAACTAGTAATTATTCTTCATAATAAATACGACATTATTTCAAATGGTAATGAGTAAGAATCCAACACGTAAATTAGATTCTGTATAATTAAAATTCTTTTCGTTTAATTTCGAAAATTCAATGAAATTTGTTGTTTTATTTAGACGGACAATGAAAAATTCCCAGAGGATGTTTTGAACGAACTAAATATTTGTTATCGTGTTTGTTTCAAATTTGTCCAGAAAGAAATGTATTTTTTTTCATCTAGAAAACATTGAAAATTTTATTTTATTATTTTGATAATTGTTAGTGAAGACGATGATGATAAAGGTGTTTGCGTATGTAATAAGCTACGAGAAAGTCATAAAGATCGAAGTTATCCTGAAAAAGAAGATGTTAAATGGACTATGGATCTAAATACTAAAGTAAAACCAGAGCCTGCTTATGGTATACTGCCAAATGGTGCATTGGTATGATTAAAAGTTTTATATTTTTTCTTTATTAAATTAATTATCATTTATATATATAGTATTTACGACTTGCCATGGATACACCGAAAGAAAAAGTTGCAAGACTTCTTTTTGACGTATGGAGAATCCGAAAACCTCGATTAATTATGTCAATTATTGGAGGTGCAAAATATTTTACACTAAGTGATCGACTTGAATCCAATTTTATTAATGGTATTACTGAAGTTGCACTCAAGTCCGGTAAAACCCAATACAAATTTTAATTTTCTTTATTTCTTTTTCTTTGAACATAGATGCATGGTTAATCACAAATGGTTATAATGCTGGTATTGTTCATCTTGTTGGACAAGCGATTAATAAAGTTAAATTTACAAAATTAAACAAACATATTACAGCTATTGGACTTTGTAAATGGGGAAGTATAAAAGATGTAGAAACACTTACAAAGCTAGATAAGGTAAATAATCAGGTTTGATTGACGTTGAAAAATAATTCATAAATTTGAAAATTTAATTTTTATTAAGAAAGAATCGGAGAAATCTGATAAAATGCGTGATGGCGGTATAGAAAAAAAACGTGAAAGTGGTCAACGTGATCTAGAAATGAATCATACTCATTATTTGATGTTAGATGATGGAAGATTTAGATTCTATGATACAGAAGATTACCGAACAAAATTATGTCTTCAATTAGCAAAACTACAACACGAAACTGATCTTCCTCGTAAGTTTTAGTAGTCTATGAATACTTTGCTTTTATTGAATAACGATGTAATTATATAACAATACATAAATTTAACCTAACGGTTAACGGAGAAAAATTTCACTAAGAGGTTAATGTAAGATATACGCTACTATTTTCTTCTGAAAAATGAATGCTTTCAAAGATTTTTTAAACACACGTCTATCAAAAACTAATGGAGTATACGACATCACTTGATAGAGCATTTAGCAAATTGAAAAACGTTATTTTTATAGTAGTTTAATGTAAAATTATACTAACTGGTATATATAGTTGTCGTACTTAACTCTTTCCGGCTGGATGTTGGTAAATGGCAACATTTCATCTTAGGGGAGTGCGGTATTTTTTCGAATAGACAACGGGAAATGGTTAATTGATGAAATTTACAAATCATCATATTAATCTCGTTTTTTTATGTAGACAAGTGTAGAAATAGATAATTATAAAATAACTGGAGATAAATTAGAATTGACATTGAAAACTTCCAAAGCACTGAGAGTTTAACACTAATATCTTAGTTCATAAGATTTAATATTAATAGTCATGAGAGATAAAACTTTTTAATACAATTTACTCTATAATGAATGTTATACTAACGAAACATATTCGATCATAACAAAATGAGACAGTCAGTAATTACTGGAGTAGGTATTCATTTTATGAAATAGTATGGAAAACTTACTCATATTACTGTGATTCTGCGTGTAAAAGACAAGTTTTCGAGTTAGGAATATAAACGCTCGATTTTATCAAAGAATTTTAGGTCTTCCCACGATGATAACACTAAAATGAAATATTTACGACTTCGAAATCTTCATATTTTTGACTGAAACAATATTCTTAAAAAGTTGTCTGTTATTATTGGCTTTTAATGTTGAGCTAAAATCTTGTAAGAAATAAATATTGTACATTTGAAGCGTACTCTTAATACCTCTCATTAAGCTGTTTTCTATCTGAAACTGATTGCTATTCTCACGAATATGTTATTCGTTTTTTCTGTAATTCATTATGATGTTTAAAGCACTTCGTAGATAATCTTCATAGTAATCATATATTA